TAAAATTATAAGACATATGCTACATTTTTCTTTTAAACACACTGGTCAAATATAACTATTATTATGAAAACCTTACATTTTAATGCGTTTTTTAGTTTATAAAACATTTTAATATATATTACTTGATTCATGCCCTCTAGACACAACTTTCAACAATATCAGTTACAAAGTTATTTTGAAATATTTCTGATATTAAATGGCACTTATTCATATTAAAGACAATGAACCATATTTCCACTTTTGGCATATGATTTCAATTTAGATCTACTAAGATAATGCATTTCATCTTGTGGACTATATAAAAAATAAATTCATATAACCTAATGTTATTAAAGTTTTATCATCTTTGGCTCCTCCCTCCTCTGGAACATACCAAATACCATGAAGAAGAATATTGCAAGTTTGCATAACACAGAACAGCAGTATAAATTTTGAGATGTAATTCTGTTGTCTTTTTAAGATATACCTCAGCAGGACTAATGCCAATAGATCTCAGCTTCAGCAAGATCCAATTTTCTCTCCTAAAATAAAAAGTCATTTCCAAGATTTAAGCTTTCATTTCATAAAATTATTCCCTTAAAAATCTACCATATATGCCAAGACTGTAAAAAAACATATACAAAATATGTGGCTATAGACACAATTGTTGCCCTGAAAGAAAAAGGTTTAATTAATTACTGTTTCAAATCGTACATTCCACTGTGTATGTGACTTTCAGGGCAATATATTGAGGAAGGATATTGCATGAGATGATTAATTTAATATTTCCACCACAAGAAGGAAGGTTTACAATTTTGAGGGCAAATTGATACAGGGTAGATAGTACATCTAGATAAAGATCACATTCCCACTGTGGCAGTCTCTTCTCCAAATAATTCAGAAGGGTCTTAAAACCTACACTGTTATCCTAAGAAATATGTTTAAAATATTTCCATTTAGACAAATTATGAATTATTTTGTATTTTGTTGCTGTTGTTTCCTTCTCCTTCTCCTTCTCCTTCTAGTAAAACCAGGCATTTGATATATACCTTTGTTTTGTTTCAAAGGCTTTTAGGAGTGAGAGGTCCCACTCACAATGTTTAACACACTTGGATAATTGACCACCACCAAAGCATCCATCATAATAATATTGTTTACCCTAAGTAGGTCAAAAGATTTAAAATCCTATTTTCTAGAACTTCGTGGAAATTTTTCAGTTTTAAAGAAAAGAGTCTAACTTAGCTATGCCCGTTGTGTGAGAACAAATTTCCTTAAATTCAGATTTAATCTTGTATATATTCCAATATTTTTTTCTTTCTATAATCAGCTCCCAACTCTTTCTCACCTAAGCAAATCTTATCAGTCTATAAAATACCAATTTGGAGCCCCTTTCTCTTAGGAGATCTTACCTAACTACTCAATTCTATTAATAATCCAGCAAGTAAAGTGTCACCTATATAAACATATTTCATTAGTTTACATATATTTCAGATGTGTTAGTCATGTTGAAGCCAGATTTACAGATAGGTAGTTAGTGTAGTTAGGTAAAACGGGTCTAATATCAAGTAAGATAAATAAAATGGAGGCGATTATGAGAATGGAGTCCAGGAAACCAGAGCAGTACTTGAGGAAATTGAAATGTTAATGTCCCAAGGCCAGGAACTCATCCTAAGAAACTGTTAATGAAGCAGCTCCCAGCAAACAGGGAGGTGCTAATCCAAAAACCGCCCAGGCCCTTCCTGCTCAGATTACTCCTTGAGCCCACCTATCTCCCACCTTTTGGGCCTTCCCACCTGCATTCTATCACTGCAACATAAAGGGAAACAAAGGACAGGAGTGTGGGAAGGCTAAAAGAAGACCTTAGCTATGAAAGAGGGAAGACCTCCCCCTTCCACGGATTCTGCCTTTTGGGTCCCCTTCTTCCTCGGGGGAGAAGTCTTTCTGCTGTCCTTTAATAAAGCTTCTACCTTCCACTCTAAATTTGCCTCATGGTGCTTCTCTGGTGTTATACTTCAGCATTCAGGGAAGCAAGGACTCCTCACCGGTAAACAGCGGTAACAACGTTGCTCCAAATAGATCTTAAACTCACTGTGAACAGTGAAGAAAGCATAAGCTGACCTGCTGTGAATGATGGAACGTGTCAGACACTTTATATACTCTATCCCAAGCAATCATTTAATATTCAAAATCAAAGTTTTACATATCTTGCATGATATTCAAAACAGGGAACAAATGGTGTTCAAAAATACTTGTTCATTTGGAAAAAAAATAACAAAGTCATTTTCTCTCATAGATGCTGTTATTGCTAGTTAATTCTATTAGCCATTAGTAAGGCTCTTTCCCTCTAAGATTAGCCAATTTTCACATTCATGAGAATTTTAGTGTCATTTTTATAAATGGTAATAATTCTGAGTATCATGAGGAAGCATGATAATTTCAATTTAATGTGTTATGTAAAGTCTTTTATTCTCCCCCTTATTACTTCTAGCATTTACTGTAGAAGGAAAAGGTTACAGCAAATTCTCTGTTAAATTATAGACTGGTCTTAAAATGCTGGGTTCAAATTCTGTCTCCACTAAATGAAAGTCTTTAAAATTTCTAAAGTCCAGTTCTCTTATCTATATTGTGGAGATAAAAATAAATATTGTAGAGTCTATCCACAAGCTATTATTAATGCTTACAAAATGCTTGCTTTTAGTAAATGTTCAGTAAATATTAGTTATTATTTTATGATTTTCCTTACAACTTATCCTTCCCATTTCCCTACTTTCTAAGGGCTTAAGAAAAATAAAATTATAGCCCATCCAAATAATTGAGAGAAAATGCACCCAGCCTCTCTATTTATATTTGTCATTAACCAAATGTGAAAAAAAGAATAGGGCATAGATTACCAGACCAAAATTAAATTATCTGTGTCAACTCTTCCCATACTTCTTCTCTTCCTCCTTTTCTAGATTAACCATTTTTCTCATATGTTGTTCACCAGGGTCCAATTTTCTAATAGAGATACACTGCTTTTTTTTTTTTTTTTTTTTTTTTTGTACCAGGAATTGAACTCAGGGCCACTTAAACACCGAGCCACATCCCCAGCCCTATTTTGTATTTTATTTAGAGACAGTGTCTCACTGAGTTGCTTAATGCCTCCTCATTGCTGAAGCTGGCTTTGAACTCAAGATCCTCCTGTCTCAGCTTCCCAAGCCACTGGCATTATAGGCATGTGCCATGGCACCCAGCACACACACAACACACTGCTTATTTTTGAATAGTCCCAGTCACTTTACTCTTCTGAAGCCTGTTCAAGATTATTCTGCCATTGCTTTCTCGGTTTCTTCCCATCCCTTACAATCTGGTGAGAATTCTCCTTTCCCAGATGGTTCTTATGAATCTCTGTGATGCAAGTTAGAAGGAAAGTGATAGGAAGGAAACAAAACAAAACACAATGCTTAGTCTGGGTCAGAGAAAAGTGCTGTCAAGGAGTTGTGGAAGTGGGACTCTTCCAGACAATGGCTGCGTAGAACAAGGACAGAAAGGGATTCAAGAGGATCAGCTGTGGATTTGTGTTCTCTGTGGTATTCTGGAAATAGAAGTAAAGAGCTCTAATTATTTTAAGATGACTTTTTGGCTTCTAAGTTTTTATTTAACTTTAGTATAAAACCGGATCACACATTTGCAGGTAAATGGAGGGAGCTGGAGAATAGCAGGCTAAGCAAAATAAGCCAATCCCCAGAAACCAAAGGGGGACTGTTTTCTCTGATATGCAGACACTAATTCACAATAAGGGGGCAGGGCTAGGGAAAAATAGAGGTAGTCTGCATTAGGTAGAGGAGAGTGAAGGGAGGGGAGGGAACATGGAGGGAGTAGGATAGTAGAATGAACTGAACATTATTACCCTATATACATACATGATTACATGACTGGTGGGATTCTACATATGTACAACCAGAAGAATGAGAAGTGATACTCCATTTGTGTATAAAGTGTCAAAATGCATTCTACTGTCATGTATAGCTAATTAGAACAACAATAACAAAAATGAACCACCTGGGGCTGGGGATGTGGCTGCCTGGCATGCGTGCGGCCTGGGTTCGATCCTCAGCACCACATACAAACAAAGATGTTGTGTCTGCCGAGAACTAAAAAAGAAATAAATATTAAAAAAAAAATTCTCTCTCTCTCTCTCTCTCTCTCTCTCTCTCTCTCTCTCTCTCTCTTAAAAAAAAAAAAAAATGAACCACCTGGTTCACGACTATCACCCATTTCAGGTACAGCTGTAATACCAAGCTGTAATTACGCCTGTAATCCCAGTAGCCCTGGAGGCTGAGACTGGAGGATTGTGAGTTCAAAGCCAGCCTCAACAACATTGAGGCACAAAGCTACTCAGTGAGACTCTGCCTTTAAATAAAATACAAAATATGCCTGGGGATGTGGCTCCATGGCCAAGTGCCCCTGAGTTCAATCCCCAGTATCAAAAAATGAATAAATAAATAAACAAACAAATAAATAAAATAACTATCACCCGAGTAAAGCAAATGACTAAAATTTATTACAAAGCATAAGAAGGAAATTCAGGGATAAAAACAGTTTTGAAGCATATAAATTGGAAAATTCATGTTGACTGAATATCTTAAGGCCCTGGGTTCCACCACACAACAATGAACCTATTCAGCCATCCTTATACTGTTACACTCAAGAGTTCACACTACACGTTTGCGACTTTCATTCTTCATGAAAATGTAAAATTACTTGAGATTTCTCTTTCTTATTTCATATTGTAGCCCATGAATTTGTGCTTCTTTATCCCCAGGAGGATATTTTTATCATGATAATTTGGGGGAAGATAGTATATTAGTACAATAATCATCATTAGTTTCTTGAGTCTTAAGAATGACTCAAGAAACATAGAACACAGATGCCTTATTATCCTAAGAAAATTCTAGATTGCCCTTTTCCCCCATTCCCTTCTAGTGCCTCACCACCCCCACTCCACTCTGGCCACAAACTGAGTGATCTTCCAGAAGTATATTCGTTTATCACACAGATGCTGTGACTCCTCTGTTGGTTTCTCAATAAAATACCAACTCCATAGATGATCATTTCTAACTGAGCCCAACAGGATTCAAAACATATTATTAAAAATATGTATCTTGGCATACTGAGTATTTTTAACCTAAGGGAATTTGATAAAACGAAAGAGCCAGGAAGGTCTGTCATTTTCCAGTCCTTCTCCCCTAAGCAAGCCATGAAACCTAGAAAAAAAATTCTGACCATCCTCCTAAGCAGGTCATAAGACCCTCATGAGAAAAGGGCCCTTGCTACACTGAGGGAAGGAACATCTTTATCTCTGAAGACCCAGGGACACAGAGAAGGATCTGAACAAACAGGCTTTGCTAATTTCCCTAGCATATGCCCTTACCTTATTACTGCTTACCTGCATCCAGTCAAACTTATCCAAGACTATCCACTCCTTTATCAAACCCAGCACACAAAGAAACAATTTGAATATTTTCTGAATAAATGAAGAAATCAATCAATGGAAAATTAATTTAAGAAGGAAAAGTACCATGAGCTATTGCTTAATGAGCGCTTTACACTGTTTACTAGACAATGTGCTAGATTCTGCAAATCTTATTCAGAATTATTTAATGAGTCTTATTAACACTATCTGAATTTATGTAAAATATAACACAAAGTTGAGACTTGAACCAAATTAAGTAAATCTAAACACTTAAAAATGAGGTGCTTACAGAAGACTTATTGTGCAAATTGCTGAAAATATATTTCTTATTTATTAATAAAGAAGAAACCAACCTAGAATCAGCCAATTTATTCTCCTTACACAGATATAAACCCAGTGGTATCTGAACTTCTTTTTTCATACTTGAGTAGAAGCAGTCTCCTCATTCTGCTGTGTGCTGCTTTATTTTAGCTCTGTGGGTTGCAAGTAGCAGACCAGTTTACCTCAGCTTCTGCAAAAGATTTCATTATAAGAACTTAGGTGAGCCTCAGAAAATCCTAGTCACTAATAAAATATTTTAGAAAACCAATTTCTCTCCCTCCCCTTTCTCTTCCCTGGTCTCATGTCTCTCTGATTCTCTTTGCCCATTCCTGCCATCCTTCTTTGTCATTTCTGCTTCTCTTTTGATACAGTGAGAGACGAGTAGGGCAACTGCCCAGCATCCGTGAATATTTTCCATGTTGCTTACCTGCAGCCTTATTTAGAAAGTAGCTAAATGACTCTGAATATCAGTTCCTTGGAGAGAGAATCTGATGGTTTCAGAAAATCAGTTCCGTCTTGGACCAGTCACTAGCATCAAAAATAAAAGAGCAATTAAAGCTACCCTGGGGAATTTCTCAGAATAAGGGATCAGTATCAATGGAACAGACATCCCAATAGTTTTATCATCCATATATGTTCTTAATATTTTCTTACTTAGAAAACAAGAGTGTTCTCAGTGGGGTGCAGCTCAGTGGCAGAGTGCTTGTCTGGCATGCGGGAAGCCCTGGGTTCCAACCCCCAGCACTGCAAAATAAAAAAAAAAAAAGAAAGAAGAAAAACAAAAAAGAAAAAGAAAACAGTGCCTGTATGTTACTACTTTATCAACTATTTAAAATACTCAATATTGAAAAGAGTCCATATCCCAATGAGTTTGTAGTGGATTCAATCCTGAAAAATTAGTCCACTCTTTTCCAGCCACTATAAAATTATTAAAGATGACTGATTCTATATCTTAACCAGTGTTTATGTAATTTCTCCAGTTTGCCAAACAGATCCATGTTTTCAGCTCAATGTAACTAGAAGTAAAGAAAATCTGCAGAGGAAAAGTCTTTTCTTATTATATTATAATCATGTTTGTGTCATAATATAGTGGCTAAATGAAAGGGACATATCAAATCACTGTGGGATCAAATCAGCAAATTGAATAGTTTTGGTGTGTTCACAGAATAACCAAATAAACTGTGTCATCTCTGGAGAGACAGGCTCCAAACCCAGAAATATTGCATAGCAAGAGCCTCTGACTTAAGAACAAGACTGCATGTGGATGGAGGCAGAGCATCAAACCTTCACCCAAATTCACCCCTAATTTTGTCTTGTTCAAAATAACTCTCCAGTCTTTAATGACAATTATAATTCTTATTTTGTATCTTATTTTTTTTAAATACAAGTAAGTTTATTCATAAGAATAAAATTATTCTCAAAAACTGCAACACTTCCAGTTTTCTTAAACAACTCCTCAAAATTAGCTCATGAAAACTTCTGTCATTAGGCAATAAACTGAGTACATACATCCATCTGCTATTCTTTACACACACAATTTCCTAGCAGAGAAAACAACCTCTTATTATTTACATTCATTGAGTCTTTTCTTGAAAACTTCAAGCAGACAAACAAACAATATCACTCATTTGAGGAAAACCAGGGATCAAAAAAGGACTGGACTGGCATGTGGCTCAATGGTGGAACACTTGCCTAGTGTATGCAAAGGCCTGGGTTTGATTCCCAGCACTGCGGCATCGCCATCACCATCATCAAATTAAAAAAAGAAGGACTTACAGGAAAGATGAACAAATACATCCCAGAGAAAAACCACATAATCCACTGACTAGGATTATAATTAATCTCTTCAGAGAATTCAGGATTCAGAAATATGTTGTTCTGTATAATAAAACAAACACGCTCAAAAAAATGTACTATCAAATCAATATTCATAGCAGCTCAATTCACAATAGCTAAGCTATGGAACCCACCTAGGTGCCCTTCAATAGATGAATGGATAAAGAAAACGTAGTACATATACACAATGAATATTATTCAGCCATAAAGAAAAATGAAATTATGGCATTTGCTGGCAAATGGATGGAACTGGAAGCTATCATACTAAGTGAAATAAGCCAATCCCAAAACACCAAAGGCCACACATTCTCTCTAATATGCAAATGCTTACACACAATAGGCAGAAGGTGGGGAGGAGTGGAAGTTCACTGGATTAAAGTGGGGGTATAAGGGGAAGGGAGAGAGGATGGGAAAGACAGTAGAATAAATCAAACATAACTTTCCTATGTTCATATATAAATATACAACCAGCATAACTCCATATCATATACAACCACAAGAATGGGAAGTTATACTCCATCTATGTATGATATGTCAAAATATATTCTGTCATGTGTAACTAAAAAAATTAAAATTTCAAAAAAAGGAATAATCAGAAAATGAGAATTCTTATAATTAGGTAACTGGGAAATATCTTAAAGTTAATTAAAGTGCTGTATATGAGTCAAGAAAATCCTAATTTGGAACATAAAGTCAATACCCCCAAAATTAAAAATTTATAAGTACATGAAAGAAAATTTAAGAGCCAAGGCAACTCAATCAGGAAGTCCAGGATATCTATCTAAGAGAAATTACTGGAAAAAGAGATTAGAAAAAGTGAATGAAAAAGACTAAAAAGAAAAAGAATGCAAGAGGAAGAGAAGAGGAAGAGGAAATTCAACAGAGAGGTAGAAATGCCCAAGAGTTACTTAGTGAACAGGGTGAAAGATCCATGTTTAATCACCAACAAAAATCAGGCAAATCTAGAGTTCTCAGCAGGGCAAATAAAAATGTGAGAGTACATAATAAAGATGCTTTCAAATATACAATGAGTTCTGTCTACTTAGCTTTGCTTAATAATAATAATAGTTGAAGTTTTGTTTTGTTTTGTGTGTGTGTGTGTGTGTGTGTGTGTTACTAGGAATAGAGTTCAAGGCCTTCTGCATGCTGGGCTGTTTTTTTCTTAAAATTTTTTTTCGAAGAAACAGAAGCCATGGGATCTATGGAATGTAACAAATAGTATGTACAATCAACACAAACGTATGGTGGAAAGGAATTTCTTCACAGAGGCTCTGTGGCATGTGAGAAGAAAATGGTGAAAGATAGAACATGAGTATGGAGGTCTCTATCACATTTTCAAGAATAAATGGAGCCAGGCATGATGGTGCATGCTTGTAATCCCAGAGATCTGGGAAGCTGAGGCAGGAGAATCGATAGATGGAGGCCAGCCTCTACATCTTAGTGAGACCCTATCTCAAAAAAGGACTGGAGGTCTAGTTCAGTAGCAGAGGACCCCTGGTTCAATCCTTGATATTACAAAAAATAAATAAATAAAAGGTTAGCTTCAACATACAGTACAGTTAAAAAGAAGGATTAAGGGAATGGTAAAAGAAAAGATTAAGCTTCTACTATCAATAAGGGAATAAAAAAAATTGGAAACTCATCAAAGAACAAAGACCCGTATAAGGAACCTATGGGAGAAATTTGAAGGAAAATACAATGTGGAATGAATTTGAGCAACTCACAGAGTATAAGGAAAGAGCTCCTTTTGACCTTTTTTCTTTTTAATTTTTTTTTTTTTTGTAGTTGTAGATGGACAGAATGCCTTTATTTTATTTGTGTTTTTTTTTTCTATGTGATGCTGAGGATCGAACCCAGTGCCTCATACATGCTATGCAAGCACTTTATCACTGAGCTACAGCCCCAGCCCTTGATCTTTTTTCTTACAACACTGTTTGTTAAGTGGGCCAGATTCAGTGAAACAGGCTTATATCACAGTTGTATGATAATTACTTATTACCACAATCATAATATGGGTAAAATGTATTGCTTCTGAATTTTAGAATGTAATATAGATAAAGAATTAACTATGTAATTGTGTTAATACTATGTTTATTTTTATTTTTATTTTTTGCAGAGCTGGGAATTGAACCCAGGGCCTTTGTCATTCCAAGCAATTGCTCTACCACTGGGCTACATCCCCAGCCAATGCTAAATTTAAATAGTATACATTTGGTCAAAGTAAATAATGGCACGACTAATAGATCTGAAGAGGTATAAAGGAGAGGAGAAGAAAAGTGTACAGGAATGCTGATTTTCTTATCTTACTACTTTATAAGGAACTGATGTCAACTTGGATGCATAAAGATGAGATTTAATACTAATACAAAAAGAATTTCAGGTGGAAGTAAGGAAAAGTGTCAGCAAATTCATCAGCCTCTATATGAAAAATAAGAAGATATTTTAAGTTGCACATTGGGATTTACAGTTTTTAAATTGCTCTTTTAAGTTATTAAAGGTAAAACAGAGGTATGAATGTACAGTTTAGTTAAGGAGTTATAAGTTGGTAGCCCATAGGTAAATTCTGCAAAATAAAACTTTTTGTTTGTTTGTTTTGTATTTTTCACGCAGTGTTTGTACAAATTAAGACTTTAATTTTGAGATTTCCTTATGGTAGGGGTGGAGTAGGGTGGATGGAAGAAGGGTCTTCCTTAGCTGGAAGACTTCCTTAGCAGCCTTCCTTATATGGAATCTCTGCTGCTCCATTGACCATGACCTCCAAGCCCCCAGCTATGTTTCTCTTGTAGCTCTGTATCTCTTTATGCTACCTCCCACCCCTGTGAGATAGCGTTTATGACTTCCCATTGAGAGTATGGACACTAGAAGCACCCCACATGGCTCAACATTGGTGCCCCTGGGAAATGGGAACAAGGGTGGAAAGGATGTGGTTTGGGAGATAATAATCTTTCATTTCTCCCTTTAGTACAGTTTAAACCAACCTTTTTATTTCCATGCCTCTCTGTGTATGTTTGTGCGTACATATCTCTGTCTGATCTGGTCTTAGCCCTGGCCACAGATAGATTCAGAGAATGTTCCAGAAGGAATGAAAACACCCTATGCTAGTTGAAGGGAAATATACAAGCAGAATTCAGCAACAATTCAGTGCAAGTGTTTCATGAGTGTTATAAGAAATAATAAAAGCAAAAGTTAGAACATCTTATCAGCCTGGTAGAAATAATGTAATAGTTCTGTGATCATAGTTGCTGAAGCTGTTAGCGGTCGGTCTTTCTCTCTCTCTCTCTCTCTCTCTCTCACACACACAAAAACAAAAACAAAAACAAAACCATACAAGTGCTTGTGTACATTTCCCAGCCTTTCTTACAATATGATATGATTAGCACTGGGTTCTAATTCCTGGATCTAATTACTGAATTCTAGCAGGTGGGGTGCAAGACACTCCAAAGCCTGGCACAGGGAGCTCTTCCCAAGCCATCCTTCAGATCTCACTTTTCCTTCTCAACAACTTGGAAGCCAAGTGTTCTTGCTGTCCAGCTACAAGCTGGAGGGAGCCTATCTGACACATTTTGGACTGTGATGAAAGAAAGAAGCCTTAGTGTGAAGCTGTTCAGATTGGGGGTTTGTCTGTTGCATTAGACATGTTGTTGTTAATTACCTAAACAAGCGGTTCCCAAACAGTATATTTAAAATCACCAGGAGGATCCATGTATGAGTTTTTCAAGATGAACTCAAAAAGAACACACACACACACAAACACACACACACACACACACACACACAAATCACCAGGAGAGCTCCTGAAAAAACATAGAATGCTCACAGGTGATTTACTAATAAGTACCCTGAGTAACCATCATGGAAGCAATAAGCGTTTAACTGTATTGGGCTGAACTGAAATGATGGAGGGAGAT